GAGAACCAAGGGCCAAATCGCTGGCCGCGGATTCGCCATGGCTACCAAGACATGGTCCCATCTGCTTCCGAGTGCAACGAACCGGGACATGTCGGGAGGAACTGTCCCAATCGCCAGCGGGAGGGCCATATGGCAAAGAAGACGAAGCCTGCGGGAGCAACCAAGTGGTGCTCCGTCCATAACGCCACTACACACTCCGACGAAGAGTGTTACAACCAAGGAGCCAAGCGACCAGAAAGCACGGGCAAGGCCTTTTCTGCATGCACACACTGCGTGCACTGCTCAACCCAGTCAAACACACACGCCAAGCCTACCACAAGGGAAACTCCCAAAGAAACAGAGAAGACCGAGAAGGCAGAGATCGACTTCTCTTACGACGAAGATGCATTCAAGGGAGGATTCATGTACCATGCTACATGCAGCAAGGGAGGCGGATGCACTTTCACGACAACTGCAACTGAGACGCTGGTGGATTCTGGAGCTTCTGAGACCATGTTCGACAACCGCCTCATCCCGAATGGACGTCTCGAAGAAGAACGCCCGACGCTCAAGATCATCGACGTTGCAGGAGAAAGCCTACTACGAGGCACTACCACTGGGATCCTACACTGCACCATCAAAGACGACAAAGAACAGCAACTACCCGTCAAGCTACAAGGTCTCATCGTGCCAGGACTAGGCCGGAACATCTTCGCACCAACGGCCCTTCTCAAGAAGGGCCTCCGATGTGTCCTGGAAGACAAGACCCCACACCTCACCATCGGCGGAGAAGTCGTCGTTCCTCTGAAACAAGAGACTCAAGACCAAGGCATGTGCACCCTCGCCATCACATTCAAGGGCGATCCAGCGTCGACAAGCAAGACACCCCCGAATAACCAAGAACCAGGGCGCAAGCCGAAGATCGGAAAACCAGAAGCGGTACAGATCGATCACACTCTGCACGCGACATGCTCAGTGGCGATGAGCGTGAGCGCCGACCTCTGGCACCGGCGCCTCGGCCACATCAATCCACGTGCTATGGAGATTTTGCGGCGCAACCCCGCCACAGGTGTGAAATATGACGGTCCTGTATTCCCGTGCGACAACTGCCACATCACGAAGCACAAGAAGGATCCCGTCCCGAAGAAGACCAGCCGTGTCCTGACCAAACCAGGCCAACTCGTCCAGTTCGACAACATGGGACCAATCGACCCGCCTGCGAAGTACCACGGACGCACCTACTCCTATGTCGCCAAAGCGACCGACGTCTTCACCAGAATGCGGGAAGTGTACCTACTGCGCGACAGGACCGAAACCACGCAAGCTCTGCACGCCTACAACATGCAAGTAGCATCTGAAGGCTACCGCATCGAGGTTCTACGCTGTGACAAAGGGGGAGAGAACACTGGGGAAGAAATGCGCAACTACTGTAGGGAGTCTGCGATCAAGCTGGAATTCGCCGCGACCAACACGCCCCAAGAAATCGGAGTGTCAGAAAGGGATGGCCAGACACTTGCGGCTGTGACTCGAGCTCTACTGCGCGATGGAGACTTCCCAAAACACATGTGGGGGGAGCTCATGATGACTGCAGCATACCTGACCAACAGGACCCCACACGCGGCGCTAGGGGGAGCCACGCCGTATTCCAAGATGTACAACACAACCCCGGACCTTTCTCGACTTCGTGCCATCGGCGCCCGCGCGTTCGTTCATCACGAGCGATACAAGAAGAAGCTAGACGACCGGGCCTTTGAAGGCAAGCTCTGCGGTTACGGACCTGACAGCAAGACGTACCGGATCTACGTGGAGGGCAAAGACAAGGTCTACGAGAGCCGGAACGTGACTTTCATCGAGACTCCACCCAACACCATCCCCCCTCACCGGTGGGACGACCGTCTCGGATATGAACAGGACGTGATGAACTTCACGTCATTGCTCGGACGCCGTACCTCTACGGGCGACGAAGACAACAAAGTGGACTACGGAACACAATCAGAGCTCCTGCTGCACGAGATGCGCAACATGCAGCAAGACAACATCAGCCGAGCAGAACTTCGCCAAAACAACGCGGGCATGGATTCCGACAACTACTTTGCTGCTGGGGGAGCTGACAGCAACAACAACCCGCGGACTACGACACCATCCAGGACATCGCAGGACACGACACTCGAATCACCCACGACGCCAACAGACACGGACTCCGCTTCGCCAGCCCCCATCCCAATGCGTCGATTAACGGTGACCCGTCCTGCCACGCGCACTCACCAACCCACAGATGACCCTATCGACCCTTCATGCATCCCGAAATCTCTGGAAGTGAACATGAACGACAGAGGCCGCTCTGCCATGGCTGTCAGCCACCCCGACCCACTGGAGCTCACCGAGGATCAACTACTCGATCTCACCCACCAAGCGCAGCAACGATGCCCTACTGACGCGGCGGATTTTGCTCACCTGGATGAAGACCCCTTCGCCGAAGTCCGGGCGTATGCTTACGCCATGGGCACCTCGAGCAAAGGGTTCTTGGGGGAGACACACCAAGAGATCAAAACTCCGAGCACGTACACCGAAGCCATGAACTCACCACAACGCGAGCAGTGGAAGAGCGCTATCGACACCGAGATGGGTAATCTCGCCAAGCACAAAGTCTTTAAGAAAGTACGCATCAGCCTGGTACCGAAGGATGAGGACATCTTCGACACACGCTTCGTGTTCAAGATCAAGGCCGACAGCCGCTTCAAGGCCCGCTTAGTCGCGGGGGGACACCGCCAACGAGCAGGACGACACTTCGGAAGGAACTACGCTCCAGTAACCCGATTGGGTAGCATCCGCATGCTATTCGCCATCGCTTGCGAACACGGATGGGAGGTGTACCAATTGGACGTGGTAGCTGCATTCCTGAACGCGTACACCGACAGAGACGTCTACGTCAGGCCGGCGCCAGGCGACGAGGAGAGGGACCCTACGACAGGTGAAATGATGGTCTACAAACTGGAGAAAAGTCTGTACGGCCTGTCACAGTCCCCGTCACTGTGGAACGACGCCATCAATGACAGACTCATCATCTTCGGCTGGCAGCGCACTCGCTCTGACCCCTGTGTCTACATCTTCGTAAGCGGGGACGAACTCACAATCCTCGCGATCTACGTCGATGACATCCTCATCACGGGCGGAAACAAGGAGATCGTAAGCAGGAAAAAGAAGGAACTCATGGACAGCTTCGAAATGACAGACATGGGAGAGGTCAAGCGCGTAATCGGCATCGAAGTGCAGCGGGACTACGAACATGGCACACTAGCCATATCGCAAGGACCCTACGAGAGAGATATCCTACAGCGATACGGAATGGAACAGGCAAACCCGGTCAGCACCCCCGGGTATGGAGCAGAACTATCAACCGAGCAGCCACAAGACCAACTACTCGGACCCGAGGACAAGCAGAGATTCCAGGCCATCACCGGGAGTCTCCTGTACCTTGCCCAGTGCACCCGCTACGATATGTCATACGCAGTGCACCAACTGACACGGGCATGCGCAAACCCAGCACAGGTCCACATGGCTGCGGCCAAGCACCTACTACGGTACCTACGCGGAACGCCGGACCTGCCGATCGTGTACAAGAAGGGGCAGTTCAGACTCTCGTGCTTCACTGACTCGTCATTTGGAGCCAACCCAGACAACGGCAGGTCTACCACCGGATACCTGTTCTTCCTAGGAGGGGGACTGATCAGCTACGGAGCCAAGGCACAGACTCTCGCAGCACAGAACACCGTGGAGGCCGAGCTTCAAGCGCTGAGCTTCAGTGCTCGCGAGGCAGTCTACATCTCCAACTTCATGACGGAAATCGGATTCAAGACCTTTCGATCGGTACCCATCAACAGCGACAGCACCGGAGCATTGACTGTGGCCAGCAACGCGATGTTCAGCTCTAGAACCAAGCACATCGCGCTCCGGTTCTTCTTCCTCAGGGAACTCACGAAGGGGCACCGGATCACTCTTCACCACCAACCTAGTGCCACGATGTTGGCGGACATCGCGACGAAACATCTCCCGAAGCAGCGATTCGCCACCATCATGCAACTCATCAAGGACTACAAGTGCTAGAACATATTAAGCACAAGATCGCATATGGTTGAATGTTTTGGACGCGTGTATTGCTCACAGGATGGATTCAGTCATGTGGAGGTCGATATTCTTTGATATGGATTGGGAATCGAGGGGTCGCAAGAATGGCAGCGAAGTGAAGGTGTTTTGGAACATCGGCTACTTGCCTAATCGAGGGGTCGTGTCGAGGAAAACTGTTACAACGTAGTCAGGCACAGTTTACCATAGGTGCGACTGCGGCAACTAGCCTTCCGTAGACATAATACAGAAAGAAGAGATGGTACTCAGCAGAGAACATGAGCACAGAGTTGTAGCGGAGATAATTTGGCAGGCGAGACTGTAGTTGTTTTATTGTTCCGAACCCCGAAATTCCGGTACTCCGGGCCATTACTCCGGAGACCCTCGGAACCTGCTGTGTTTTTGCTGCTTGTTTTTTGTTTTTGTTTTGTTGTTGAGATGAGACACAAGCGCGCCTTCGCCCCTTGTGCTCACTCTCATCTAGCACCCATCAAAGCCTGACCAGGGAGTCAGTTGATAAGAAAATCTATCTACATTTCTCTTTCCAGAGCTCGCTCGGGCCTACCGATCTCACAGCAGTGTAGACCAACCTCTGTGATAGAGCGGTGACAGCAGTGTAACCTCTGTGGTAGACTACAAAGTCTACGAGCTACAGCAGCACCGCCACCTCCGCTGCTGCAGGACGCCACATTTTGTGATCAGAGAGTACGTCCATCTCGGGACCGAAGAGAAAGAGAGTCGAGGAACCGGCGGTAGGAAGAATCTGGCGACCGGGTACTGCTGTAGAAGCGAGTAGGGCGGCCGAGGCAGCACCTGTGGCGAACTATGTACCCGGCTGATGTTGTTGCGCCCTGTTCCCCTCCCTCCTGTATGCTACTCTGCTGTTGTATGCGCTTTGCATTGCCTTCGGTCTCTCTCTGTGCTGGGCTTGTACTCGCTTCCTTCTCTGCCTTATTGGGTACCTATCTCCCGTTTGCTGTTGTTTTTGCTTTCATTTTTCTGANCCTGTATGCTACTCTGCTGTTGTATGCGCTTTGCATTGCCTTCGGTCTCTCTCTGTGCTGGGCTTGTACTCGCTTCCTTCTCTGCCTTATTGGGTACCTATCTCCCGTTTGCTGTTGTTTTTGCTTTCATTTTTCTGACTGTCTGCAAATCTGGGCCGCCTCTTTGTCCTGTTACCTCCCTTACTCGTATGCCCTGGTGCGCAGTGCCTGGTGCTGGTACGTTCCCCTTTGATTTGTTAGGCGGGTGTGAAAAGCGTCATGCTTTTGTCTTCATTTTATTTTGGTTTCCTTTCCAATCCTTATGGTGCTATACTTGGCTCTGTGCCTTGAAAGCTCGCACAATACGTCCCGTTTCCGTGTTACACCAAAACGATCGGACGAGTCTCCGTATACCGGTACGATTCGAAGCGATGCTGCTGTGCTGCTGTGCTGCCTTGTATAAACGCGCTCGCTGGGAACTGCAAATGGCACTGAAGGTGCGTGTCTACGGCTACGCGCGACTGTTGTGCCGCCGCTGCTTCTGCGGAGTACGCCTGTGCTCTCCATATGGTAACCATCTAACCGCAGACCTATGTATCCATGCACGTAGGTTCGTATGCGATTTTGCCAGAGAGTGTCCACTTCGGTGTGTATGGCGGTGACCTCAAACAACACGCCCTCGTATTTCTCGGAGAGTTCGGACAAAACTCACTTTACGCAGAAACTACTGTTCGACGTAATTCTCTTCTCGGACTGGCTGCGTTCACATGTACATACATAAATACCCAGATCTCTTCCCCGATTTCTTATCCGACTACAGTACTGTGCATCCAGAACATAACCCGATCTCTCAAGTTGACACTACCACCTACAATCTGTGACCAACAACTGCTACTGTCTTGCAACGACGACATGCTTCCAACATGTGAGTACATCTGATTTCCCGGAATTGCCATACGTGTAGATTCCGACGATTTCGATTCAAGCAAACACGCGAAGCCACCCAAACATTTTTGACGCCGGCGTGCACAACGTACCATCCGACAGTACATCTTTTCTGCTGTTGCTACTGTGCGTACGTGTACGTACGTGGAGACGAACAAAAATTATCAAAAAAAATCGATGCGACAGGGTTAACAATTCGACTACAAACAACGTTGCCCACGGTGATGACAACGTCGGTGTTACCGTGCTGGTCGCCGCGGAGGTGCACGTCGTCGTCAAAGTTGAAGATCCCGACCGTGTCCCCCGAACAAAATGAAACGAGCGATGGTCACAGCAGCGGTTGGACAAGGATGAAGCGGGGGCGTTGGGAAAAATAGATGCGGCGAGGGAAAAGAGGGGAAGGGGGTGCGGGAAGAGGGAGTAGAGCAGGGCAAGCAAGGACGATATTTGCGAAATGGATGAACTTCGTTGCGGGTACCAGCTTATGTATCTCCGGTGTAGTCGAATGGGATAATTAGCAAGTTTGGTGAGGCAGATATAGCCGATGTAGACTACTGTTTAT